TAACATCATTTGAGGGATGCTAATTCGTAGGATATAATACAAACTGTTGTACGGGGATACGTTGACTGGATGCTGTAGGACTGGTTCAAATAAAGTTGATCTGGAGAATTAAGCATCAACTTGCTGAGAATGATTAATGTTAATGTTTGTGGCACAATTTTTAAATTATATCTTTGAGCTTCGGGGAAGTTATCAAGTATTTTCAACTCAAAATGTTCAAGTCTAAGTCATGACTCATTGGTGTTTAAGTCCAAGTTGAGTTGCAAGTCTTTTTAGAATTCATCAAATCCATCAAATTTGTGACTCAAATCCACACCCCAGTGTTCAGGTATATGAGTCTACAGCTTGATTTAAGCCAACATGTTGCAGATGAATTGAGTTGAATCACTTTGTAGGATGCTGCTCATCCACCCCTGATGCAAGTAGATTAGAAGTAGGCCCTCAGATTTTACATCTAAAAAAACCCATCATACTACTGAAACTACATAAGCTTGATAATTCCGCATTTGGACAAATATAGACTTGTGAGTAAACACTAGAATAAAATCAGGAGACAGTCATAATATTTACCACAGTCATGCTGCGTATGATGGGGCTGAGTAGGAAGACCATGTGCTGCTGGATCTCCTGACTCCTCTCCAGCAGGATGTAGAAGAACTCCACAAAACCAAAGGAGGCCAGCAGAAAGCCCAACACCTGAGCAGGACAAGAGAGAAACATCACAGTCACATCAGAAATGCTGCTTTTGTATCTGATTTCAGTCAAAAACAGTAAAATTAAGTGTCTGTGTGAAGTCTCACCATCTTGGCGGAGCAGAGGCAGGACATTCGAATGCGTCCGCTGTCATGGCAGTAGAGGAAAAGGCAGTAGAAGGGGGCCAGCAACCAAAGGTAGATACAGGGGACCCACACCAGTACTGTGTTCTGGAAACACTGGGTCAGGTCTGGGTTGGCCGTGTACCACGTACGGTTCCAGTCCTACAACAGAGAGAAAGTCATAAGTTAAGATCAAGAGAATATGCCTAAGAGTCAAACTGTGAGATTATATCCATCATCTGACAGACAGAGCAGGTGAGAGCCAGATCCAGAGAATTCAGACTTGGTTTGGGTCCTGTGTTTCATCCATCGAGGCAGTGGAGAGTGAAACCACAGCAGGTCAACAGAAAGTGTGTCTGTGCCCAATCCTGACAGAGTGTGAGTTGAAAGAGTGATTCTTTTACTGAAAAAGCTGAGTCGGTTTCAGGATTTTTTTCTGACCGCGTCTCTGGCTTTTTTCCAGAATTCGAAAAGGGCAATGTACGCTGTCAACACATTAAAAAGTGAGGTCAAGAATTATACTAATAATGACGCCAATAAACAATAAAATTCCACACAGACGAGGTGTGTTGGGCAAACGCTGCCAAAAGTCTGCGATTATGTAACAGCAGCAGAAGCAGTAGAGCTTATTTAGTTTAAATAAAAAGAACACCAGGGGCTAAGTGGTTTGTTGTTGTCCTGCTTCCCTTGTTTATCACCTCAGTGGCCTAATGAGGGGCAGGGTGTCTGGCTGTGCTAACGAGGCTGGCCTGTGGAGTCACCACAGGAAGTGGTTTAAAGCTTCGAGCATGGCAGAGTCGTCTGGCTGTGCTGGTAGACTCCCAACTGGGATAAGGGAGAGAGGCCACAAATGGTGGCGGCTGCAGGGTCATTACGTAACGCGGCCCTACCGGTGAACCACGTCAGGTGAGTAGTGGCTGCTGCTCAGAGGGGGCGGCGTGTCTCAGCAGGGCAGGAAAAATGATTAATTTAAGTTTACCATAAGTCGCTACTGTTCCCCACCTCTGGAGCCACAAGGGTCTGAATCATGGTCTGACTGTTCAACATCTTTGCCTGCACAAACAAATCCTACATAAACCTCCATAACACAGGTGGCTCAGGTTGAGGGCATAAGTTTTGATCCAATGCTGGGAGGCAGGCACATATGAAGCAGGGGATTTGGGGGTTCTCTGACAAGAAATATTAAGCATCAAACACTTTATTTCTTGCATTATGGTTCATTTTTTATGCACCAATTTATGATGGAAATGTATTTTTTGTCCAACTAAAAGTCCTCTGCTTCTCTTTAAAATTTTTATTTTATTGAGAGGGAACAAATGCTCAAGTTGTTACGTCCTACCCATAATCCATGCCTATGGTTTAGGCATAGAATAAGCCTACTGGACACAAGCAGGGGCCCAAAGTATTGGAGGGCCACCTGGCTTTTATCTGCAGAATGTCTCTGAAATTAACATGTACCTACCAGGATGAGATTTAAAATGACTTTGCAGAGGCACAAAATGACCTCGAACAGACACAAAATGACAACCAAAGCCAAACAAAATGACTACAAAGAAACAGAAAATGACAACTAAACCCACAAAATGACATCAGATGCACAAGATTACCCCAGAGAGACCCAAAATGACAAAACAAACCCACAATACTACCCCAAAGAGACACAGCATTACCTCGAAGAGACAGAATATGACTTCAAAGAGACAAAAATACACATGATGACCTCAGAGAGATAACCTGCAAGACCACAAAAAGATGCACAATGACTACATAGGGAAACAAAGCAACAACGGAAAAAGAGGCAAAACCACCACAAAGTCTGAGTGTCTTGCTCCTGTGTAAGAGAGATGGAAGGGCCTTTTGTATGTCTGTACTCAGGGGTCTACTGTCTCATAATCTGCCCATGGGTTTATGATCGTTATGTAATGAACACAGCATTTTGCACATTCTGTATACTAGCCTTCTCTGTGAGCACTGATGTACCAAAATGCATTTAAGTGATAAATCTCATGAGAGGCAGTGTGTGGGAGGCTACTTTCACAGACCCTTCTGACTCCTGTGGTCAGGGCCAGGCGGATGAACAGAACACTTTTATGTAAGAAATCCAACTTGTCAAACCCTCTCCAAGCACTTTCTTGTGCATTTTGCCCAGTACTTATCCTGTTTCTCACCCCTGGCTGAAGTGGTTGCAGTAAACTAGTAGATGCCAACAGCTCGGTCACCATAAGGCGCCTATTTTTACCTGACGGACACAGCGATGTGAAAGTAGAGGAGGCTGTCCTGTTTTACATCCTTTAGATTTTTGATGGATAAATTCAGCACCTGAAATGACTATAATAACGACACTGGCTTGAGAACATAGCAACAATATGCACCAAATGTTAGTATGCAGTGTGTATGAACTACTGTAATTGTAGAAGGCATTGATCACTTTCCTGACAGTTTCACCTATACTTTGACCCGTTTTTAAAATTACAGGACGGCTTGGTTTGAAAAGAAAGAAACTAAATACACTGCTTGCTCCTAAATTGCCCCCTTTCAAATTTGTCCATATAAAGCTCACGTGTATAGGTGCTTCTGGATCAAATCTCTTCTGCTCAGCTGGATTGTGCATGCTCAGTTCAGTATTTAAAGCCATATAAATCCCAGTCACTACCCTGGGGCTGTTGACAAAGAGTAAGAGTAAGGAGTAAGCAGTGACGCTGCTCCAAAAGTATGCGAAAGGTTGATTACTACATTTAATAACCGAAAGTGCTCTGTAGCCAACATCAGACAAAAACATCTGTTAAAACATCCTCTGTGATGGATGTCATGTGGCTGAGAACATCACATCTGTACTTTGAACTTTCGTGGCAAAGAGAGCCGCACGAGACAGCCAGTACACACTTCACTTTCACTTTCTCATTTAAGTTTGACGGCCATAGTTTTGAGGTTTTGCCAGAAACAGAGAAAGAGCCATTACTAGAGGCGTGCACTCAGTAAAGTGCAGATCTCCACCAGGGGATCGTGATCGTGGCAACTCTTACCAGTTCTGGTAGCTTAATTTCAGACGGGCCGCAGCCTGTTTCAGAAGCTAATAAAAACACATGCCTCCTCTATTTTTGATGTAGCCATGGCGGCACAGAGCAGATAGACTTTTCCTACTAACAGGTACTGTATGTGAAATATACAGCACAGCCAGAAATCTTTGATCTATGTCATTCTTAACTGGACTTAAAACGGTGTTAACGTTGTCTTTAACGACGTGGAATTGTCCCTCCTGGCTCCCTTACAGTTAAGATGGCACAGGAGCTAGCAAAAACGGGGACAAATTCATCTCGTACCATGCCTAACTTTAGTGGATCATAACATGCCGGGTATGAAATGAACAAAACTTTTTCTATAGATGTCAGTCACAGACAAAAATGTGGCTGCCAACAGACAGTAAGGCTGGCTGTTTTTAGCCAAGCCGATTTCTGGAAAACTTGTGGTTGCTACAGGCCAGTTAAGCAAAGTGAGGAGGTCAGTAAAACAGTTTTCTGAACAACTGTGAATCACCGCAACCACGCAGGATCATTGAGCAAACAGTCATACATGAGTACACAAAATATGAGGCTGATGGGTCCAGTAGTTGGCAAGACTAGCTGCAGATGGGCAGAAACACACAATCACACACACACATTCACTCACTCACACAGCATACACACATGGCCAAATGCATGATCCTCTCCAGGTCTACAGCTTGTGTAGATAATAAAAAATAGATACTGAATTTGTCCCTCCTGGCTCCCTTACAATAAAGATGGTGGAGAAGCTAACACAAGCGGGGACTGATTCATGTTGTATTGTGCCTAACCGACGGATTAATGGAATTAATCTGCAGATGCTCAGGTTCAAACTAAGACCAAAGCATGTGTCCTGCGACAGACAGTAAGGCTTTTTGTATTTAGCCAAGATGATTTCTGGAAAACTTGAGGCTCCTACTAGCTGGTAAAAAGGAGTGAGGAGTCAGCAGTTAATGACTGAATCACTGTGACCACACATGGTCCCTGAGGATACAGTTATACATGTGTACGCAAAATCGGAGGCTGATTGGTCCAGTAGTTTGTGAGATAAGCCACACACACACACACACACACACACACACACACACACACACACACACACTCACAGGCACACACACTCTCTCCCTCACTAACACACACAACCAAACGAATGATCCCCTCCAGGCTTATGCCTGTTGACAATAATGAGAAACAGAAACTTAGAGGGAGAGAGAGGAGAGGGGAGAAAGAGGCAAGTTGGGAGCGAGTGCATTCAATAATTCGGTGTTCCAGCTGGATTGCGGCCATTTCGAGCCGGGACTCAGAATGTGGAGGTTTGCTTATATACAAGAACAAAAAGCCTTTCCAACATCAGCAGCTCACTCAGTGTGACGCCATCTCCTCCTCTCAGCATCTCATTGTGCTGATTCATAGAGCAGAGTGATGGTAAACGCAACTCTGGCACACATCAAAGGTAAACTCTCCTTTTCAGACTTGACTTAGATTAGATCTCTTAAACGTACATGCAGACTGCAAATTGAAAATGTCAGCGGTTGCTATGGGGATTTTCCTCCCGCACTGCTGAGTGCTGCCAGCTAACATTTTAGGCTAAACCATCCTCTCTCTTCCTCTTCTAAACATTATTTTTCATTTAGTTGCTTATGAATGGACCTGTCTAATGCTGAGGAGCAGCATAGTTGGCAGCTGGCACAAGACACAAGAATGGCATGCTAATGTGGCTAACGCTAACTGAATTTATCATCAATACAGAATATTAAACAGGTTAACAAGAATAAGGAAGCAATTGTCACTGTGTTATACATATACATTTACAATAACAACGGTGGGTGCTCATTATTTAGGTTCAAGCAGACAAAACCAAACTTTTACATAGATATTTACTCATTTATATCGGCTGATATAAAATGAGCATGGATTTCGTGACAGTAATCACATAGCCAAAATATCGGACTCTTTGTAACTCAACTGGATGTGACTCTGTGTGACCTGTTCTCGGCAAACAGACACACAATCGATTGTTCAGGGTCAGTGAACACATGACAAACTCACCCACAGAGGGTCCAGGCCACTGAGTCTGCAAAAGGCATCCATCCACTCGCTCGCTCCTTCCTCCTGGATGCTCCACTTGTTGGGGTCGATCAGCCCTGCTCCTCACACTGAGTAGCACACACTGGGCACCAGCACAGGTGTGTCTGTGTGTCTGTGAGTGTGTGATGTGGGGAGAAAGAGTTTGGTTTGTGTGTCCTTATTAGAGTTTTCCTCTCTAGCTAATGGGAGTAAATCTTGGGTTTAGCCTGTTCCTGCCTGTCTGTCTGGGTGGCACGCTCTGTGTTTATTAGTGTGTGTGTATTTAAGTGTGTCTGCGTGACTTTTCCTCCCCTTTAATAAAACATCTTCTCTCAATGAAACTCTGTTTCTGTCTCGCTGGCTGTTTGCACTGCTGCTGCCCTGAGATCCTGTGTCTTTCTGACTCTCACTCCGTCTGCCTGCTGTTTATGAGTGTGTCTCCTTGTTGGGTGGGTGGAAATCTCTCTCTCTCTCTCTCTCTCTCTCTCTTTCACTCACACCCCTCTCTCCTCTCCCACATCTGCTGGATTTCGATCAAAACACCACAGCTACTCCCCTCAATGGGATGACAGTCCCACACCCAGACGCACTCCTCCCACTTTCACTCACTGCCCCTTACCTCCTTTCTCGCTCCTTCTCCCTCCCCCTTTCCCCACATCCCAAACCAGCCGTCTCACCACACAGTGTCTGTTTGTGCACATACATACCTTTTAAAACTGAGACCAGCAGCACTCAGACAAATGCCACGATTTTAAAGCCTCCACTATACTTAAATCCAGGATATTAGCAGCCTTAGTCACTGCTGTGTGGCAGCTACTCCTATGTATCACCAGCTTGGCGCGAAGCTTAACATATTAGCATGTATGTGTGGAAACCCCTCTGCAAGTGGACACTACTTTATAACATACTGCATGAGTCACAAAAATATGTTTTTTAGTCCAGACGTTTAATGGAAAATGTAGAGCCACTTCAATGGCATAAAGCATCACATGCACTTCCAAGTATTGCAAAAAAACTTGCTGATATGGGAAAAAAGGAAATTTATTTAGTTAATAAGTCATCGCACTGGACTGAAAGTTGCACCATCAGTGGAAAATGTTAAATCACCAGACAACTCTGTCACAAAGTGCCATGTTGAGTTAAAGAGGGGTTAAATTAACTCTGGGGTGCAAGATTATCAGTGCTGTTGAGGACATTTGTGCAAGTCTGACATACTGAAATGTGGGAATTTACAGGGACATACTTGCACTGGCAAAAAAACAAATACAACAAAATCAATCTCATACACATTCTTACACTCCTTTAGCATAAAAACAAGAGCGAGCGTTTCCTCAAAGCTCTTTGTAGTCTGCTGAAAAGCATCATCAGATGGCGTGATGACGGTCACCCTGGTCAAGACACGTGGGAAAACTTCAGCTCAGCAGCTGCGCAGGAAAGTATGACACTGTCTCCACTGGGACTAACACCAACGCGGCCATCATCAGCCGCAGAGAAGAAAAATGGAAAGTTCGGCAGAGAGGCAGACCATCACCGGGTCCTATGTCTCGCCATGTGCAAATACGAGATTATTATTCTTTTAAAAATGACTCATCACTCTATGTTTCTCCTCCAGGCTAGCGGGTGTTTTTTATTCAGCACTTCAGCCAGCTCTTGGTGCAAAGATGATGAGAATTATGTAACCTGTGGATTCATTTGAATGTGAAATTCTATGAAAGAGTTGGATGTGAATGTGTTGTGTTGTGGTGCAATTGGAGGTGACATTAGGGCAGGAAACTGGAGCTATAATTGTGGTAAAAAGACACTGGTTTGAAATAAATATTTTGAACCGATGTTGGGCGTGCTTTGTTATGAGCTGTGGTCAGAGGGTCAGAAAGTTCAAAATTACCTTTTGCTGTCACCAAAGTTTATCCTGCTGGCTTCAGCATTAACCAATGGAGGCTTAAGAGAACATATCTATGGTTTAACTGACTGTTGTGTTTTGTCTCAGTCTCACAGCATGAGTGGAGTGTTGCTACCACCAAGAAATGGTCCGAAACACCTCAGGCAGTGTACCACAGCCAGTGGGGTGGGCGGTGTGTGTGTATGTGTGTGACTGTAACACAGGGTGCAGTGTTTACAGTGCACCTTTTGTCCCAAATAACACTTGGGGTCCAAACACAGAGAAAGAGATTTAGCAACTTCCTTTTTTAAAGGAATGGTGTGTATGATTTAAAGGGAATTAATGGCATCTAGCAATGAGGACTGCAGGTTGCAACTGGCTGAGACTTCTCCCAATTAGATTTCTTTCATCATCAAGGAGGTTTTTAACAGGAGCTAAATTATCCACAGAGGTCTCTTCCTCTCCAAAACAAATAGACCAGGTGATTAAAACCATTAAAAGCACTGAATAAATAGAGTTTTAACTTACAAATCAGTGTTTTCCTGATGTTGTTTGGCATGTTGGAGATGTGTGGCCCACCCACCATATGCACCATATGCAAATATGTGCTCACGTTTTTTTCTCTGATGGCTTAAGGTCCAGACATTCAGGAAGTTTTTGCTGGGAGTCTCCACTTCTCTAAAACAGAGGTATCTGCTAATATAAACCAGTAAAAACACTGAAAAAAAAGCAGTTTAATTTTACAAATCAGTGTTTCTCTGACATAGTTTAGCATGTCACAAACGGGACGCTAGCCCAGCACCTGCTAATGTGTGCTCAGCTTTCTCTCTAGTAACTTAAGATCCAGATATCTAGCAGGTTTTTACCTGGATCTGAATTATCCGCAGAGGTCTCTTCCTCTCCAAAACAGACAAACACAGTAATTTAAACAGATAAAAATACTGAATAAAGCAGTTTCACGTTACAAATTAGTGTTTTTCCGACACTGCTTGTCACAGATGGCTTCTAACTATGTTGGCCGATGAGAAAATGCAGATTGCCCTATCTAGAGCCAGTGTTTGGTTTGTCCATTCCACTGTAGAAACAGAGGACCCGCTCCCTATGTAGATATAAAGGGCACATTCTAAGACATTGAAAACATGATTCTTCTTTTCAGGTGATTATACACTAAAGAAAACATAGTTATTATATTCCATTTCTGCCAACACGTCTTCCTAAATCCTACACACTGGACCTTTAACTGAAGTAGCTGACATGCCTGAATCTTTGTGGCCGGGTGTGTTTGTGTTTTAATCAACAGTAGACAGATGACAACATCTGGCGCTTGGCTGCAGGAGGACATTTTTAGAGGTGTGTGAGAACTTTCCTCGAAAAGGGGCCCTGTGCACTCTGGTCTCCCTGGACTGTCTTTGGAGGAGAGATAGTTAATATCCCCCCTGTTGGTTCCAGAATAAACTTTTTTGCAGCATCTGAGCCAAGACTCGTCAGCTGATCGGTCCCAGACAGCAGCTTGAGGTTGGGGGGTGTTGCAATTCATGGAGAAAAAGTAGAACAAAAACAACATACGTGCAGGGTCGTGCATATGCAGTGAAGAGCAAGAGCCGTGCAAACTGCTGGTGCAGACCCAAGACGGGTTAACATATACAAACATACACACATTTGACTGCAAATATGACCAAGATGAGCTCCGTGCCAGCCGATGGCCAGACAGCAGACTGTTTACACCAATGGGGAAAGAGAAAGCACCCAGCATGGATCTGATGAGAGGCTGGCACTGGAGCAGGGCCACTTGTGGTCATGGCATGTAGTAGTAGTAATGTGGACCTGGCAGGCAGTTGATGCAAAGGGTGGCTGCGGGGGTGGCAGTGCCCCAGCCAACTCGTGGTGAAGCAGTGGTTAACCAGTCTAGGTCACCTACACTTCCTCTGGCCTCTCTCCATGGGAGGAAAAACAGTCTAGTCAAAATAATGGTGTCATTTTGGCCTCTTACGTTTGAGCAAGGGGAGACAAATTTAGCAACAGCAAAGCAAAGGGAGGGGCCTAAAACAGATTAAGAAACAAGTGAACAAAATATCTGCTCTGTATTTTTTTTCTCTCTTCGCTCTTAAATAAGCAGTTTTAGATGAGTGGCACAGCTCCAGTGCAGCCTGTAAATTCAGATGTGTCAGCCTACGCACGCAATTATAACTGGGCTCTGTCTTCCACTTCTCTCCCTCCCGCTTTTACCCACAGTGCCATCTCAATCGGTCCTCGCAGCTTCGCTCTGTAGACGAAACTGACCTTTGACTCTGACATGCTTCCTTCCTGTCTGTCAGCGGGACTGCTGTGCTGTGCAAGCATGCTTGATCTGATGACGAAGATATAGTGTGTGTACTGTATGTGTGTAATTGTGTGTGTCAGACCTGTTTCCTCAGTGTGCAGTCTCCAGACCCGTCTCACATGCCTCTGTGAGTGACATGAGCCTACAAGTATTTATCACCTTACTGCCTTGGCACCTGCTGAGGAGTCATTCATAAGAAGTCCAAATACCCACAGCTTGATTACTGACATACTGTATCCACCTCGTTCCAAGCTCCCATCATACATTGTGTGAATTATGGGTGTGACTTCCGGTGCTGAACTGGAACCAGTGTTTTACAATGGCAATTGTATCTAATGGTGCACTAATCCTATTTTATAGAGTGACGGGGAAAAAAGACACGGAACACACCAAGTGTTAAACCTCAAACGAGATTGTGTGATCAAATCTACGTCATCTCTGACAGCCAACCCAAAGCACTGGTTGTTTACCTTTTGTAACCAAGCGTGTTGGCGATTAGCTTGACTTGCTATGTTTAACATACAGTTCAATTTAATGGAGCCTGAACTATAACTTACGGTAAACATCTGCTCCTTTTAAAAGATGATTTATGATTTCTGACAACTCATAAACAGACACTAACACGTTCGGCATAACACATTTAACATAACTTAATATTAATTTTAGCTCCATATAAAGTGAATAAACGTGATGTTTCCCAGCTAATGCTCTGTTTGTCCATCTTGACGACACAGTTTACACATTTTTATAACTTCTGATTTATTCCACATTTTGTCATCCCAAGTCGTCACATATCGCCGCTTTGTCAGTGGCCTTTCATATCCTTCTGTGGCTGTTAATATTCCAGGATGCCGCTACCAACTCCAGGATGTCAACAAAAGCACGTGGTTAGGTTTAGGCAACAAAAGCACGTGGTTAGATTTAGAAAAAAAACATCATGGTTTGGCTCTACATTCTTACAAGAAGTGCACACAGGCCTCCCCGGTGAAAGTCCAGGGTTTGTTGGGCCCTTCCGCCACCCCTTCCGCCTGCCCTATAGGAACTTTCTAGCTCCTTATAATACATTGTTACTGGCAGCGTTTCAACCTGACGCCCTCCAGTGGCATATCATACCTCTGCAAAAGGTGGCTTTTGGTGTCAAGTGTCTGATGCCGAAATCACTGACAAAGCGGCGGCATTTGACAACTTCGTAATGAGAACCAGCTGACTTATTAAATCAGAGTTCTGTGGTGAATGTGTGGTGAGGTTTAGGCTTTAAACACCTACGTTTGGTGGCACAAAGGATGTTGACAAAGCAGAAATTGTTTGGTCAAAGACATCCAGGTTTAGTGGCTCAAACGTTACTAGGATATGCCGTGAAGGGTTGATAAAGACACCAGGATTGGTGGCTCAAACGCCACTGGGAAACTGCAACGAACTGCAGTGAGTAGGTGTTGTCACAGAGAAGAGATTTTGGAGCAATAAACGGTTATTTTTAGGATAATGGGCTGTCGGACAAATGGACATTTATCGGACTTATGGGACTTAGAAATTTCTGGACCATAAGAACAATAGTATGACACTGCTGTTTCCCTGTTATCATTCTCTATGCTATGCTGACTTTATATGTATACATTAGTTGGACAAATGTGAGAGCACTCTTGATCTTCTCATCTAACTCTTAGCCAAACAACAAATAAGCACGTTTCCCAGAATGCTGAGCTCCTGCTGTAATGGAGGACCAGACTCATCAGACAAGCTCAGAATTTAGCCTTTACCAGCTTTGTCTCTGGGCAGACGACATTTACTCAGAATTTTAGTTGCATTATACAACATTAGGAGACATTTTAGTTGCATAACCAATTTAGAACTACTAACGTAATTGCCAGGCCCCAGTTGTTGTTTTTTTTTAGTTGTTGTGTTTTCTTTGGTAACTCTAATCTCTGCCCGACATCTCCAAACCTCAGACACAGTAAAGATGCTCTTTTTCTCCTCAGACAGCAGATGGCTTGCCATCATTTTCCCAACTGCCCAAGAACCAGAAGGTGTCTGAATGAGACTGTGCTGTGATTACCCTTCAGAGGAAAACCACGCAGGATGACAGCAGGCCAGAGGAGAGGCAGAAGCGAGGCAGGATTGGTTTGGAGCACTCAGAAAAACAGTGTAAATAAACATGTCAATGTCAGCTATTTTTTGCATTCATTATGCTTGCTTGTGTATATTTATATGTTTAAGAGTGACCCACTTATGGTAAGATGCACATAGTTTGCTGTCAATAAAGAAATGACTTTTGTATAATTAGAAAATAGTTAAATGAATGTTACTTCTTTATATATTGAACTGTGTTGGCTGCTTAGTGATAAATCCAATAACTTAGGACAGAAGAGGAAATTCAAGAAACTGAAACTTTGAATGTTTCCCCAAGTTAGTGTTTTCCACTTCCTACTGAGTTTCATCACAGATTCCCAGAATGACAGACCCGTTTGGCAACGCGTCACCCGTTAAGAGTACATCACAATGTGTCATGTGCTTATCTTAGTTTGATTTCACCTAATCTAGAGATGAGCTCACCCAGTTTTTGCAGTACAAAGGCTGTGTTTAGTTACTCTTCTACAGCTAAGATTTAAACTGTGTGGATGCTAGTTTAGTCTACAAACTAGCATGATGATGATGATAATGAGACACTGAGCAAAGTATAAAACTGTGAGCTCATCTGGTGTGTTTTCTTCTACTAACCAAGTCCCTTGTTTTGTCAGTATAAATCACCCAACGCGTCCTAAAAACTAAAAATTAGTGATATTAGCTATTTATTTTTCACTGTAATGACCACAGACTGTAGAAATAATCAATGTAGCCACCGTAATGTCACCCATGAGTTTGTGGACAGTCGATTTGAAGCCTAAAGTTCAGCATATTGGCCATATTCATCTTGTCCTTTTTTTTTAGCCAGAAGTGATCATATTTGGACAAGAGGTTGGAGCTGTGGGGTCGATCTGACTCACAGAGTGTAGCAACGCCTCGTAGACAGCCTGTCACTTTAATTTGCGTAACTTTGGATCTTAATAAAATGTAAACAGATGAGTTATATAAATATTCACCCCCAGTACAAAGTACACAGTGTGGAGTTAAGCATTTTAACATGAAGGTCTATGGGGAATGACTCGCTCTTGGAGCCAGCCTCAAGTGGCCGTTCAGTGAACTGCAGTCCTTGGCACTTCCACGTTGGCCTCATTTCTCAGCTCTGAAGGTTACCGCTTGGGTTCAATTCAAGCCACAGGCACAACGCTGGGTCGCTGTGCTTTATGTGTCAGCAAGTGGTGAGTTTTGGTTGGGTCTGGCTGTGCCTCACAGCTGACCCAGCCACAGTCCAACTTGGTTTAGACAGCCTCTAAACAAAGTAGAAGCACTGGATGTGAGCCAGGAGGCCACAGCATGCCTGGACTTCTGCAGCTGCAAGCAAGGTTAACTATCATACTGCTTCATGTCTGCTGTGATTATGGGAATACGGATGAAAAATATCCTTACAATGTGTATTTATAGCAAAGTTTATTGATGTAATGTGTTTTAAATATAAACCAATAAAATGAGTTTTGCCCTCAAATTTAAAACAAACATAAGAAATTGTGTAAAGCACAGTTTAAGTTTATTTTTGTAAAGCTTCTGAAAGAGGTGTGTATTAAGGCAACATAAAAATTAAGGGTAATTCAATCAAATCCAATCATCCATCTGCAGATGACCAATGAGCTCAACTAAGACCAAATGGATTGTGAAAACAAATACATAAAATCATCATAGAATCTGATCTGACACAGTATAAAAACAACTATATTAGTTATTTGTGTATCAGGTCAGACCAAACTGCTGGTCAGCGTTTATGACTTCATTCATGTAATGTGTGACATGGGCTGGAGGGGTTTTGGTGAATGTCCACTGAGCAGCTTTCATAAGAATGAACTGATCTCTGTCACCAAGGCTGTATCCCTTTCTTTTCATATGTCCATGCACAAAATTGATCTTGGCCATGACATCCAGAGCATGGCACAGCTGTGCCCAGTCGAATTATCCCTTCCAGCTCCCTTACAGTGAAGTTGGCCGCTAAGATAACAAAAACAATTGACTTAAACATCTTGCATCTTGCCTAACTTTAATTGATTATAACATATAGAAATAATCTGCAGATGCTTTGGTTCAAAATGAGACCAAACTATTTTATGGTTGCAGTTTTTGAGCCACGAGGAAGACCAAACTGTGGCCCTCAAAAGACAGTGGCTCGTTGTAAAAATCTAGTTTAACCCCAATGATTTTTTTGGATTCCTGAATGAGTCTACTGGGCACAGGCTCAGGGGCCCGAAGTGTCAAGGACCCCCCTGGGCTTCATCTGAAAAATGTCACTCATGTACCAACAAGGAAGAGACTCAAAATTAACTCAAAGAGACAGAAAAAATCCACAAAGAAATGCAAAGGAACAGCAAATAGACACAGACACAGACACAAATTGCAGTGAAGAGACACAAAATGACCTCAAAGAGACTCAAAATGACTACAAAGAGCAACAAAAAAGACAAAATTCATTCAAAGAGACAATAAATACCTCAAGTAGACACAAAATGAACACATGGACACACAAAAGTCTGCATCTTGGTGTCTTGCTTCCACCTAGAAGAGGTGGTGGGGCCTTTTGTATATCTGTGCCCAGGGGCCAATTGTCTTATAATCCGTCCATGTGGATACTCTACAACACAAGAAAATAAATGTATTTCCTAAAGAAATTCATACCTGCTTAATACTGCATGGTGGTGGATGCTGCAGTTGTACAATGACTTCACTCGAAAACCCTTCTTGCCACTATCAAAGCCTGCACATCCTTCCTCATACACTGTTCACAAACCACTGGTAGCTAATGATTGACACTGGCCATCACTGTCAGACAAACAGGACTCCATTTATCTACTGCAGATAAGGCCATGGGTCGCACCATCAGCTTCAGAGTTAAATAACAAGAAAAACACAGCGTCAACCAGGCAATCTCTCTCAGTAAACACTGCCCAATTACTTTAACAATGCTTAATAGGATATTGTGGCTTCTCCCTAAACTCAAAACAGACCTGCTGCTACCCTAAAATAGCAGCGAGTGGAAATCCACGGGACTGTCCCCCGTCACTAGTTGCCCAATAACCTGGGTGACTGGCTCCCCCCTTAATAGACCTTGGAGCCTGACTCCCACTCACCCTGGCCTCTCGTGACGTATGGAGGCACCAGCTCATCACGAGTCACCACACTGAAGTGGTAAGACGAACATCAACAAAAACAATTCCTCGCCTTTTCGCTTGCGGATTGTGGACTGTGGCCATCTAAAAATATCACAGAGGAAAACTGAGGGGGAGGCTCGGATTGTGTTTGTGACATTTATTAAGGAATCATCCACTCCCTGCATTCTAAAAAAACATTGTCTTTTTCAGGATGGAAAACAAATGGGATGAGTACAATGTGGTAAAAGGTTGACCAGCAGATCTTCTACCACTGGCTGCTGCTGTAATGGTATTATATTTCTATGCTCTGACTACCACAGAATTCAGCCACAGCCATAATCCTGGTCTGTTTCGCTTCTTATTTTATGTCTTTTGGATTTCTGCCAGCTGTTTAGTGCTCATTTGAGTCATGGCTGTTTCACAATAACAGCAACAAAGAAAGTTAACATGTGCTCGCTAGTTACTGTCCCTGCAGCACCTAAGTGGCAAAATGACCTTGAAATATAGGAGAGCTGGGTCTGTTGGGTCAGGGGGACAATTGGGACAGTGCATGTTTAGTTAGAAAGCAACTATGCCTTTATCATTTCAGAGCATGTCTGTACATACAATAAACATATTGGAGAGCTGATTTCCTGGCTTATTGGTCAGTGTTGACTTTAATAAAGGAAACTAAGACGAAAATGATTCTTTAACCTTTTTTTCCATGATGAAGATGAGACACTGACGAGCTGAAAATAAATTTTGCTAACAAAAATTTTGACAAAATCCGTTTCATTTTCATTGACAAGACGAAACAAGATAAAAATGTCAGTGGTGAACTATTGGACGTTTGAAATGTGAGGAGAGGAGGACGGTCAACAACGACCGTGCTTGCGATTATTTTCTAATGCCGCATGAGTGGTGTGAGATTGGAGCGCCGCATGGAGCTAAACTCCAGTAAATAGTCTGCACCAGGATTTTTTACTAGCCTGCAAACACAATCACTGGAGCAGCGCAATTCATTGGTGCGAGCTGTAATCAAGCAGTAAATAATCAGCCGTGTGTGGATGGTGGTGCTGTTGAACGGACTCATGGAGTTTGGTGGATGCATGTTGTGGACCAAGCACAAAAACACAGGTTTGAAATTCAACAAATTTATTTTCCCAAAAAATAAATTTTACAAAGCAAATGACTAAAGGTAACAAAATTTGAGTTATAGGGCTCTTTTTTTTAAAAGATTTTTTTTTGGGCTTTTTGCCTTTAATGAACAGGACAGAGTGAAATGGGGTGAGAGAGAGAGTTAAGGTTGACATGCAGCGAATGGTTGCATGCCGGGGTCGAGCCTGCGGCCGCTGCGGTGGGACATCACCTCTGTGCATGGGGCGCCGGCACTATCCACTACGCTACTGACCCCCCCAGAGTTATAGGGCTCTTAAAAGACGGCGATAAAAAATAACTCTACTAAAAAAACTCAACAAACAGACCTATGGGGCAACATAGACCAACTTAAACACAAAGGGGAGAACTCCCCCCCATGACATCACAGCTCTCGGTGCAGTCCGTGGGACACCCTTTTCCATAAAAGCAGGCTCTGCCCTAAGCCCCGCCTTTTGCCCAGCTCCAGCCGGGAAGTGACTTCAGGTAACTCAAAGACAAAGAGAAATTAATTAATAACTTACAAAAGCAAAAAGCAAAATGACAAAACAATGTAAACCAAATGTGCGTGCTTCATCTAGAAAACAGTGTGTTGTCAAAACGCTAATACACTTCAAACTAAACAAACTGGCATTGTGTATATTTTAAGTGACTGCACATTAAAGGTAACTGAACGTGTGGTAATGGTGTGGGTGAGCATGGGAATCATTCAGCCTTTTGTGTGGTTGTAGGCACGGCCATCACAATGCAGCAGTGGCTGTGAGCAGTTAGCTCTGCTTGTTAGCCAGTGAACGGCAGCGGAGCTA